ACGTACGTACGTACGTACGTACGTACGTACGTACGTACGTACGTACATACATACATACATACATACATACATACATACATACATACATACATACATACATACATACATACATACATACATACATACATACATACATACATACATACATACATACATACATACATACATACATACATACATACATACATACATACATACATACATACATACATACATACATACATACATACATACATACATACATACATTCATGTATACATGAATGTTTTGAAAATTAAAAAAGTACAGCGTCTTCTTCCAGATAAACAAGTATTAATAACGATGTTAATAAAACAACACAGTTCACAAAAATTAGAAAACCTGAACAGATCTGACAAATAGGCTGGAAAGTCAGGTAGAGCCAGTTCAACCTGTAAGTTATACAGTGGAAAACTCAGGAAGCATCTCACGTCTTGTAAAAGTAGATAAGATAAAGAAAACTGTGGCCACAAGAGATGGTCAGACCTTGGAATGTAAAAGTCAAAAGCCGTATCTTGTTCAGGCTTCAGCTGTTTTCAAGAACATTTCTGGTGCTTCAGGTTGGGAGAATATTATACCAGTGTTGAACTGCAGCAGGAAATTGAATGAAACAAGTAACAGCAGTTGGTCTGTGCAGTTTCCAACAGCTTTCAGTCCATCACCTGCACCCGGCAACAGTTCTGACCTGGGGACAGATAAAACCAAGTTCCTAACAGTCACCCATGAAAGTCAGTGTTTCGTCTCACCTGCTTTAGCTAACAGTTCTGACCTGGGTAAAGATAATACCAAGTTTCCAACAGTGATACCTCAAAGACAAGAATTGGTCTGTTGTCACGAGAATAGAGATGTTGTTTTTGGATCATCTGTTGGATTTGTGCAGGAGCTCACTGAATCGGTCATCAGAAATGAGGATGAGAATAGAGATAGTGAATTCGGGCATTCTACTGGATTTGTGCCTGAGCTCACAGAATCTGTTGTTTCATCCAGTAGACATGAGGATGAGAGTAGAAGTGGTGCAGTAGAGTCACCAGAGGGATTTGTACCTGGATGTACAGACCTGGACCCCATCATGGCAGACTCTGAGGACTGGAGCAGTCCTTGGGTGTGTGCCAGGTTGGACAAGAGTGTAGCCACCGTTATAAATTATGTCTGCCATGGGAAAATCATATAACAAACGAACATTTATGATGAAGAATCAGCATTATTGCCCCTGTGTGGGTTCTGGGGGCCCTGTTATGGAGAAAAGAATAGACCCCCTGCCTCTCCCAACAAGCATGTCACAGAAGTTAACTAACTGGGTGCATCCTTCCAGGTCAGAGTACCTGTGCCTAAAGGTCAAGGAACCAAAGGTCTGCATACAGATAAGCTAGATCTGTGAAACAGATGTGCACGCAACACTCACATTCTGGAACAAGACTAAATTCCTGAGGTGGATAAACACCCAGAACTTTCCACTGTAGTTTACAGCTGGTGAACGCAAAGAAGAAGAATCAGCATCATTGCACTTGAAACATATCTATAAGTGATAAGTCTCTCCTAGCAGAAGTCAAAGGGTGTATAGAAAATCTCTGTTATTACAGATACAGAAAACATCACTAGGCTGGACACAAATAATGTGATGTAATTAAGTGGTGACTGCTGTTAAGCTGTTGACAGGAAGTGCTAAATAACATAAAAATCAGTCGGAGTACCAAATTCAAACTGTGATTGGAAAAATCAAAAGACAGGACAACAGAGCCAAGGTCAACATAATACATCACATGGGACCCTTCTTGTCCATATCTTCCGGTTAAAATGGACGCTAGACAGCGGCGCTGTTCGGAGCAGAGGAAAATTTTTTGCTTCTGCCGGACGGTGGCTGAAGTATTTTTGCTCCATTTGTAGACTGGATATAGTTTCATCGCCCAGCTTCTGAGTTGAATACATGGCGTGACCCTGTGAGCTGCGGATTACATTTGGAATGTCTTTTTTCGACTGTGACCAACGTGGTGTGAATTGTAGATTCAGAAAATGGCGCGATGCCTGTCGTGCAATGCTGGCGGGGCCCGTATTAAAATTGATCAATCCATAAGGGCAAGGTTTCGGCAATCAGTTTTACGGTGGCAAGGAACAAGATCCCTACGGTTCTGGAGGAACCGGTGAAGAGTCTCGGTCGCGTTTACGATTCGAAGTTATCTGACAGAGCGGAAGTCCGGCGAATACATGAGTCACTGGCTACAGGCCTGCTCGCGATCGAGCGATGCAGGCTGGTCGGGAAATTCAAGGTATGGTGTCTCCAATTCATGTTGATTCCAAAGCTCCTATGGCCACTGCTAGTCTACGAGGTGACGATGACTGCAGTTGAAGCCATGGAGAAAAAAATCAACACAGCCTTAAGAAAGTGGATTGGAGCACCGCCTTGTCTGACCGACGTGGCTCTGTATTGCAAACAGGCTAAGCTGGTACTTCCGTTCAAGTCGATAACAGAAGAGTTTAAAGTCGGCAAGGTAAGGCTCGCCATGCTCTTGCGCGAGTCTTCAGACCCAAATGTCACCGCTGTCCAGCCCGCTCTAAAGACTGGAACCAAGTGGAGGGTCCTCGATGCGATTGAATCTGCTCAGAACGCACTAAAATTGAAGGAGGTAATGGGTTACACACAAACCGACCGTCGAGGCCTAGGGCACGGGAAAGTCAATTGGTGGTCAAAGGCCTCAGCCAAAGAGCGCCGAGACATGGTGATACAAACGGTGAGGGACAACGAAAACGAGGTTCGGGTCCAGAAAGCAGCCCAACAGTCGCAGCAGGGCCATTGGGTCAGCCTGGAGAGCGCATTGCCGAGAATACTCACATGGGGATCTTTCGGATGACCCCGCTGCGACTGAGCTTTATCGTTCGTTCGGCGTACGATGTATTACCGTCCGGTGTTAACATGGTTAAATGGTCTGCGACCAACGATCCGACTTGCCCGTTGTGCAAATCAAAGCAAACTCTTGAGCACGTCCTGTCCGCGTGCAGGAAAGCTCTAGGTCAAGGCCGCTATACCTGGCGCCACAACAAGGTGCTAAAGGAGTTAGCAGCCGTTGTCGACCAGGCTAGAATGAGGGCTAATGCCAGAGCCAGTTCTAGTATCGTCCCCATTCGTTTCCTCAAGGCTGGGCAGGTTCCAAAAGGTAAGGTCAACCAAAACGCATTCGCTCCATCGGTGCTAGACTCTGCGAGGGACTGGTTACTGGCGGTTGATCTGCCAGGACATGAACGGTATCCCGAGTTGATCCGTAAAACCGGCCTGCGACCGGACATCGTTCTCCATTCTGCGCAAAAACGGCAACTCATCCTGATTGAGTTGACGGTCCCGTTTGAGTCGCGGATGGAGGAGAATCATTTGTATAAGCTCGAGAAATACAGTGATTTAGCAGCCGGTTTGAGGAGAAACGAGGCTTACACAGTACGGGTATTTGCCGTCGAAGTGGGAGCGAGAGGCCTCGTTTCCACTTCGCTCTACAATGTGGTTAAAGAATTAGGATTGCGCGGTAATGAACGGAAACGAACACTCAAAAAACTGGGAGAGGTGGCCGAAAGGGCCTCTAGCTGGTTGTGGACGCAACGCAACAACGTAGGGGACGGGCCTCGATAAACATACATACATACATACATACATACATACATACATACATACATACATACATACAGACAGACAGACAGACAGACAGACAGACAGACAGACAGACAGACAGACAGACAGACAGACAGACAGACAGACAGACAGACAGACAGACAGACAGACAGACAGACAGACAGACAGACAGACAGACAGACAGACAGACAGACAGACAGACAGACAGACAGACAGACAGACAGACAGACAGACAGACAGACAGACAGACAGACAGACAGACAGACAGACAGACAGACAGACAGACAGACAGACAGACAGACAGACAGACAGACAGACAGACAGACAGACAGACAGACAGACAGACAAGCGAATGGCGTTGTGTTGGGTGATAAGCCTCAGGTGTTCATCCCTCATGCCTTTCATATCAGCATACCTGAATCAGTCTGTACACGGTGCATTATTATGCTTTAAAAATATATTGTATACATTCTTTCTAAAGGATGTCCTTATAGTAATTAAAATGTATAGTGCTCTATAAATCTTCCCTAACGGAATCACTCATTTCACTTTTATGACCTGTTTGTGCTTTATAACCCTACGTAAATGCTTCCAATTCTCTTTGTCTGTTGCCATAGGCACACTGTTTTCTTGGTATTTAGCCTAATGTTGTAGATCGATCTTTTCTTTGCCATAACTGCCACAGTGACTTGTCTCCTCCAAGTTCATTCACATACTGTTTCTATTTAGATGTTGTTGCATCTGCTGCACTGCATTTACATTCTTGCACTTTTTTAAAACTAACTCGTCCTATATTCTCCGCTTCTTATTATGACGTTTGGGTTATTTCCAATAATCCAAATGTTTGGAATTAGATTTATTAAATCAGAGGTCTAGGCTAACATCAGCTTAGAAGGGATGTCACAAACTGTTCTGTGAAGTATTTGCAACATATTAATCACATCGCTGGTCGAGTTCATTGGTCTAATAAAATATGTTGCAAAAAACATAAACCATTCAAGTCTCAAAGCGTTTTTTTCTTGTGTCCCTTTTCCTGGTATTTGTAATAGAGACTTCCATCAATTGGTAATTCAGAATGATATAAGTAGTAGCTACTTATATTAAATCTCAAATATGATAAGATCTTAAAAGTCGCATCTGTCATATGTCAAGACATAATTGTGGTTACGCATGTGAGGGTAATATTAGCTTTAAAAAAAAAAAGTAGTACTCTAATAATTGTGGTAGTAGTAATAATAGTGTTTAGGTAAAGGAGGTGGTGGTGATAATAACTGGGTGTTAAAAACTTCGCTGAAGTAATATCACAGTTTTATATTGCTTTTTTATTGCCTTGATTTTTATAATTCTATAGATTTTTGAAGCTGTTTACCTTCAGCCATCTGAGAGACCATGAAAGTGCTCGTTATTTCAAACTGATCGACCATTTGTGCTGTAAATACAGTTTCATCTATTTCGTTTGATGAAGATTTCAGCAGACTCTTAGCATACTGCAGGATGTTCTCAACAAGTTCTGGTTCGAGTCCTGCAGAAGATCATAGTCTTAAGGTTCTTTACGCAAAAAAGTATGTATACGTGTAAACACACACACACACACACACACACACACACACACACACACACACACACGTGTGTGTGTATATATAACTGACATCACTGAGTAAGTGAATCGTAAACCTAGAGGTGATGGTATTAAAAAAATTGTCCCACAGCTTAACTGCTTACGTCTGACATCGCATCTCCACTTGCGTACGGAAAACGACAAAAACAAATTCCTTATGTGTTTAAAATTGTTTGCTCAGAATGTGGCTACAATTAACAGCATAGAGCTCCTGGGTGAAACTACACATATTTAAGTGAATTCAGAGGTTAGGGAATGACACTGACTTTGTCTATGAGAAAATTAATCGAACTTATTAGCACTAAACGTAGAAAAAGTAAAAGAACAAGAGGAAGAAGTACAAGGTGGTAAAGGAATAAACAACCAAACTGCGAATTACTGCATTTATTATATCACTTTTGCGGTGTAGGCAGGATCTTTGATCCTAAAGATTTAGCGCTGTGTGGCTAGTGATTTGGCCACGGACTGCGCAGGAGAAAATTGTATTTTGATTGAGGGATAAACAGTCTTAAAAGCTAAAAGAATTACGAGTTTAATACAAATTTACCTGAAAATTCCACTAATCTCTGGTTCATTGCAGCGGCTCGATTCTGCAGTGCTCTGAATGTTCCCATTCTTTAATTATCGGAGCAGACTGCGTCTGTTAAATATACATATTCACACACACACACATTTATATATATATATATATATATATATATATATATATATATATATATATATATATATATATATGTGTGTGTGTGTGTGTGTGTGTGTGTGTGTGTGTGTGTGTAATGGTGTCGTTCTCTAAATTCCTACGGTCCAAACAGAGTGATTAGAAATTTTTTTTAAACGCATATACGATAAACTGTCAGCGGTGTTATTATCACCAAAACGAATCCGAGCATAATCACTCAACAGGATTTCATCCGTGATATGCTAATGGATTTCCGTCAGTACCTGCCATTTTCTGGATCCATTATGTAGTTAAGTGTATGTCTGTTGACAACAGTGAGCTGCCTGGTGCTTTCGATGTGTGTACTGTTATCATTCCGGGTGTTAATGTCAACATATATGACATGGAGGTACTTCCTGTGCAGGACTACTTGACCTACATCTCTTTCATAGTAGACGGTATTAAACCCCGGGTGTCTTAGGGTACTTGTATTCTCTGTTGGGATCTCCTGTAGAGCTACTGCACTTTAAAATAATTTGTCTAACACCAGACGTCATTAGTAAATGCTTTTAGTTACAGTACATCAACCGCATGCATTTCTTAGACAGCCTATCGCTTTTCCATTTCTACCACCTTATACTGGCAACTTTCTTCCTCTTCTTCTTCTCCTTTCTGGTGCGTCGGAACTCACCTTGGAAGCTCAGTTGCTACAGGAGACTGTCCATCGATATGATGAAGTTTTACTCACATTACTATTGTGATTATGTCAGAATGAGTATATGGTATATGATACTGACATGCTAGTTCAGAAAGGCAACCCACTTGATGGTCTGATATGAGCATACAAAACCGAACGCAAAGAAGAAGATATTCCGTGAGGTAACATTAACTATTCTTAACGCTTATGTGTAGTACTGAAGACAGTCAAAGTTCTGTTAATCTCAGTGACTAATTATAAGATTCCTGTTGGAATTCACAAGACTTCAAAAATGCACTGCCAGATGTGGGAAGAAGCCTTAACTCAACTAACAGGACATCATGGACAGATAAGTGGTTTAGACCAGTACCTGCAGTCAACCCTAACATGTTCTGCCAGTTCTCTAGGTCTAAAATTCTGCAATTGGGTAGTCATGACTATATCTGTGGCTGGGAACTATCCGCCAGTCCATCTGAAGTAGTATTTTTTTCCCCCTTCTTTAGCTGGTTTGATTGTTCTTGCTGAAATATTTTCTTTATTTTCCTACATGTAGTGCACTGATTACGTGATGTTTTGTTATTTCACATTCTGTTTGTAGCGTCCATCCTTCCAAGTTCTGAAATTGTCTGGAGTATCTGTTGTATTGTTATACTTCATGTTATACTGTGTTAATTTGAGAAAAATTTTTTTATGATTAAACATGTTATTTAACACAAAAAAAAAAAAAAAAAAAACAGTTTCTTTTATTACAGGATCATTAAAACAATCCTGCTGCATATGCAGAACCTCCTTCTAGGGCATGTAGTTCATCTTGCCTATTCAGTTTCGCAGCTCGTACACGGTTACCTCTCTTAGTTTTCTTGTCCTTCTTATACTTCAAACTATTTCTAACACTCTTCTGCATCCTAGATGCTCCGTTTCTTCATATGCAGGCCTGTAGAAGATTCCCCCACCACCCCCCCCCCCCCAAAAAAAAAATAAACTGTACAGTGTCATTAGCCGCAGCAGCACCAACATTGAGCTCTCTTGCTGCAGTTACAACTAACTGCAAACTGAACTCGCTTGCGTGAGGCAAAATTGTCATTGTTACAGCAAGCCCAGATCAGGCTATATAAACACTCATTTTAATTCTGAGTTTTTGCTGAAACACATCTACTTAGTAGTTTAGGGTCAGACAGCAAATCTCATTTCGTGGAGTTTTGTCTGTTAAAAAAACACAGTGATGCAATGAAACCATAACACTGTTCCTCGTGGACTCTACATTTGTGTTATTCCTTACTGCTCTGTTGTAATAAATTGTCAGCTTACGGATGGCATTTTGTGTAAGCTGACCTCTACCGTGTCTACATAGGGTCACACCTTGCTTTCGGCAGTCAGCAAACAACATTATGGAGTGCTGTTCCAATGCGTTTACTGAAATGGTTGATATATTCCGCTTTGTCTCTGTGAATGTCCTCCCTGTAGGGTTTTATCTTGGTAAGCTAAGCAAATATTTTTCTCATCACCATCTGAAAGTATTGATGTATAGCGACGTTTTTGACAGGCCACAGACTGCTGCCAAAGAACTCCGTGCAGTTGCCACCTCCATAATTCCTGCAGATTCTATGAAAGTGTTCTCACGGTTTGGAAGGTGGTCTGTCTTCCATGCTTCACATTCAGCTGGTTTGTCTCTGCCAAGTGCCTTACCAGTCTCACACACCTGACAATATGAAGAAATAACATGCACATCTATGCAAAGTCCAGTAAGTACATCCACTGCACCACCAACTCCAGTGTGGGATGTGTGGCCTCTAGTCTGCCAAGTGCCATCAAAGCTGACAGCAATATCCAGCACATCCTTCTCATGTAGTGTGGTGCCTGACTGCTGTGCATGAACTTGCCGAGTATACTTCACGGCTTGAGAAAAAAACGATGTCCTCCTGATCTCCTAACTTTAAATATAATTTATTCGCTTTGCTGTGAAATTTTCTGTGATGTAGACCTTGCAAGTTCATATTTTCGCAAAAATTATTGAATGTTGTGGAGCCCATCCCACACAATAATGCAGAATAAACAGACTAACTGTTGATGGCAAACGATCTATCCCGATCACTGTTTCATGAAGCTAATTACCTTTCACAAACAACTTGTTCACAACAAAAGCAGTAAACTTCTGCATGCACCGCTAATCCTTTAGCTTTCTTGCTGTCAGTTTAATAATAAGACGAGTATTTTTACATAGTGGACAACAAAACGTTTTTAGGATTTCATTCAATTCTGAAAAATCATCCATTCCTGTGTGTTCAAGTTTGTTGCGTCAATAGTTATCAACAGAAACATTTTTGCTGCGAGAGAAAGTCAAATATTCATAAGTATCTATTTTAAACGTATTGTTCGCGTGCAGGAAAGCCCTAGGTCAAGTCAGATTTACATGGCGTACATCAAGGTCCTGAAAGAGTTTGCGGCCGTTGTGGACCAAGCTAGGATGAGGGCCAATGTGCGGGCCAGTCCTACCGTCGTCCCCGTGAGCTTCCTTAAGGCTAGCCAGATTTAGAAAGGTAAATACAACAAGGTCGCATATGCTCCATCGATTCTTGACTGTGCGAGTGACTGGTTACTGTCGGTTGACCTGCCTGGTCACGAAAAGTACAAGTTATTCCGTAAGATTGCTCTGCGACCCGACATAGTCCTACACTCTGCGGAGAAATGTCAGCTCATCCTGATTGAGCAGACCGTGTCGTATGAGTCGCGAATGGAAAAAGCCACATGTACAAGCTCGAGAAGTACAGTGACTTAGCGGCTGGTCTGAGGAGAGACGAAGCGTACACAGTGAAAATCTTCGTCGTCGAAGTAGGCGCAAGTGGTCTCGTTTCCACTTCAATGTACAATGTGATTAAACAACTGGGCTTGCGGGGAAATTAGCGCAAACTAGCACTGAAACAACTGGGCGGGGCAGGTGGAGACAGGGCGGGGTGGGGTGGGGGGGGGGTGGGGGGGGGGTTAATTCACGGGGTTTTGCGGTCTCTATGTCAACATTCTATCTTGGACAAATATGATACCCACGTGATCAGTTTCAGCCTGAGGAAATTGCCTATAGCTTTTGCTAATTATTCACACCAATATATGGAAATTACCAGGATTTCGGAAGCGTCAATAAAACCGCCACGAATCCAGAAACTTAAATCCCACGATCCCGAAGCTTGTCGAACAATGCAGGGAACATAATTACGATTACAATAGTATATGATATATACAGTTGTCTTCTTGTGCAGATGACGTTGTCGAGGTACAAAAAACGGCAATTTCGTAACAAATATCAATAAATAGATAATTTTACAACTGAGGTAAGCTCAGTTAAAAAAAAATATTTCATTAAAATAATTTAATTTTACAAGTAGTGAATCTGACAGAAGACGTAATGAGGTGTGTAAAAATAAACGTTTTCAAAAACTGACATGCTGACCAAAATACACTATTTACCCCAATATAGGAATGCCTTAACAGCTAAATGTGTGTCACACGTGCCACTTCTAGGGTCGTAACTCAGTTATGTTTAGAACAAAATGTGTTCGATGATAAGGCCTTTTTATAATAGATAGCTCATTAGATGAGGCGTTTCTCATGAGACTTGTGGACTCTCTCACTGAAATGGCTAGACTTCATGGCCGCAACCTATATATCGAAAACATCTCAATAATCCTGGGAAATAAATGGTGAGGAACTGGTTTGAGAGACCGTTTTGCACACATGATGTTACCTGAACATGTTTGCTAGACGCTGGCCAGTTTCACCGATGTAATTCTTACCACATCTTTTGCTCTTGCAACATAGTCTCTTACGTATGTGGAAAATGCAATAATGAATTGAAGACTGCCATAACCACATATAAAAAAATCTTGCACACAGGTCTTCTACAAGAGACCGTGCATAAGCGGAACTCATAAGTGGGTCCTAACCGACCCTTACTCAAACATCACTGAGATTACAGTCATATCGGTGTGTCACTAGTAGAAATTTAGTGATAAATGTGTTGATGGGATGCAAAGCTAAAAAAAAAAAAAAAAAAGATAAGATGACAAATAATCCACGTTATTCAACACATCCTGGCAGAGAAATTTCTACAAGATTTTTACTGTTTAAACTCAATGTAAAATTCAAGGTACAGAAATACAGCTTCATATTGCAAGGGGCCAGTTGACAAAAGCATATCATTATCCATACCTGGTGTCGTGGAATGATAAGCCATTACACATCACCCCTAAAGAGTGGGGACTTGACTT